CTGGCTGGAGGGCACGTGGCAGCAGCACCCCCCTGGGCCGGCCCTGCAGGTGCCCGTGCCGCGGGCCGGGGCCGTGCACTGCCGCTTGTTCACGTCGGGCGAGATGGGGTAGCGGCACATGTAGCTGCAGTGGTGGCAGTTGAGGGCCCGGCCGCCCATCCTGGAGATGTCTGTCAGCACAGAGATTTTTCTGCCCGGCTGCACGTGGGAAGAGCTTTCCCACACGCATCTCGTCCAAGTGCTGCTCCTGAGCCACCTCTCACATCTCCTGCAGCTTGGCCAGCCCAGCCTGGACAGGGGTGGGCAGCTCGCGCGTGCACTCGTCCAGCTGCTGCTGGGCCGCGAGGACCTCCTTCATCAGCGCCAGACCTCAGCACGGACTCGAGCCAGGACGCCATGCCCCAAGCCGCTCACTTCCAGGCTACCTTATGGTGATTTCGACTGCCCTCACCGGCCATGGCATTGCTGGCAAAGAGGCTGGAGAAGTTGAACGGGAAACGCACAGGGAGGTCGTTGGCCCTGGGTGCTGGCAGGTCCATGGCGCAGATGGCCTCCAGGGCCGGCAGCACTGGCCCAGGCACAGAGGTGAGCAGCGCCTGGAGGCCACCCGCAATGTCCTCGCTGAGGAGAGAGAGAACTGAGAACAAGACGTATTTCTGGGCTTGCATCAAGCCAGCGAGCAAGGCTGGGACGATGAGGCTGATGGTGGCAATGTGATTGAAGCCACTCAGGGTGGAGAAGAGTGTGTGGAGCTGCTGCGCAACCAGCTTGTCTTCCTTCGTCCCCCTGGCATCACCGAAGCCTGGCATGTCAATCAGGGTGAGGCCGCCGGACGCTTGGAAGCCCGCTTGGGAGGCGACCATGTAGGTCATCACTTCCGACGTCCGCTCTGCCCTGGCCACCCGGCTGTGTTCTTGGGGAACAGCGTGAACCTGAGAATGTCCTCTCATTGCATGCCCAGCATGTGGTTGACCATGGTATTGACCAGGGTGGTCTTCCCAGAGCCCATGGCTCCCAGCAGCAGGACCACCTTGCCAAGAGCCAGCGGGCTATCTGCTCCCAGCTGGTACGCGGCACTGGGGAAGCAGGAATTGTCCGCTGCCTTCTCCCGCAGCAGAGCGTAGACCGCAGGCCGCC